GAATGCCATTAGAAATGAGCTGAGCACTTTTTAAACCAGAGACTTAGTGTTTTCCCAGCTATACCAAGTCAAGCCCTCAGTTCAAAGGCATTCAGGTTGCCTATACTTAGAGATGCTTCTTAGCTGAGTAATCCAGATCTGGTTTAAATCTTTAAATTTGATAGTTTTTACTTTGACGAAACTGCAGCTAGGACTGTGTTGGCTTCAGGTTTTTCCTGCGTGCCTCAGTTCATCCAGTGGAACATGTTCGGTTGTAGTTTATTTGTAATTTTTTAACCAATTTGAAGTAAGCTTTGAAGAACCAGATAATTGTTGTCATCAATTTGTAGTGAGCTTAGGTTTTTCCTCCAGTAAGACAGCATATTTGATAATCAAAAGTTGGTAATAACTAAAACACGAAAGAAGAGATGTTAATTGTGAGTTTTCAAATCTCTGATCTGCAGTGCTTGCTATTAGATTTTTGGACAGTCTGATGTATTCTGGAGCTTTACAGTTTCCTTGGGATGGAGTGGCCCAGTCTCGGGAGCCTGGGGCTTACCAGCTACATGCAGGCTCTTCCAAATGTTCCTGCTGCTGAAAGGGGGAAAGGAAATCATGTCTTTATTTCAATCACTTGACTTACTAATTTGTAACTTAGTCGGCTCAGCTGATGCCAGGTAAGATACTCTTTATGTTCTGCAGCCTAGCTCTCATTAGCTACAGCTCATACATCTGACTTGTAAATGTGATTTTAAAAAGATGGACAGTCCCTTAATATTTTTATCTAACAGTGCAATGTTGTCTGTTACTAGATAGTTTACTCTATAAAAACCTTATTGTTGGTACAAGATGTCAAAGTCTACTTCCTTGAGGTTTTAAACCTTATGCCAATTTTCTATTATTGTGACATAAAAAGGTGCAAACCCAAATATATTTGTAATTTGGTGAACCTCTGTATCTTGAGTTTTGGAGTTTGAATGTAAGTTTCCCCTTTAATTAGTCTTGGAGCTTAGGTACTAGTAATTTCTTTTGCTTAAATTTTCGTTCAGTATCTGGCAAGATGAGTAGTGTTTCCTAAACATAATGGGTAGTGGATGTACAAGCATATGTACAGTCGGAGTGCACCATAATAAACACATTTATGTATGGTGTCAAAAGTTTTACCTTTATATCATGTCTTTCACAAATGCGTGTGGAACTGTACAAGCTTCCTGCAGCTTTTGTAGCTGTAATAAAATTTACATCCTTATGTCAATGTCTGTAGATGTTCATATTTGTCTCCTCAACCCATGTTGGACTTTGATTGCAATTAACATTACCCCTTAATAAATAAAATGTTGGTTATGGAGGGTACCTTTGAAAGTGATAGTGCATAGCGATGCAGGACTCTTAAGTTACCTTGGGTAGCTAAAATGAATGTTTTCCTCGAGCCTAATGGCTTGTCAAAATGTATTACTTACCTTATCAGTTCAGACAAGAAAAAGATTAAAGGTATTAAAGTTAGCGCAGTTCTGGCAGGTTTTGGTTATGCAGATTTGTGAAGCTTGGTAAAAGACTTGAGCTGTGCTTCTCATCCGATCTCATAGAGACAGTTCTTTTGATGACTGAAATTTTGTGATCATTTTTCCTATTAGTGCCATCTAGCCAAGGAGTTAAAAAAATCTATCATTGTAACTTGTAGCCACGTGGGCTTGCTTTTTGCAAGTAAAACAAGCCTGAAGTTATTCTCAGTTTTTCATATTTGAGTATGGAGAATTCCTATAGTAGCCTCAAGAGACTTCCATCAAAATTGTACAGTGCAGGAAAGCTTTAACACAATCTTAAGACACTGTTTGCTCTACATTGACTATTTATACTTGGTTGACCTAAAATAGCTAGGAAAAAGGTTGTTCATGCCTGGCTAGAAAATACCCACACCCGGTTACTGTGCATAGGAGCAATTTCTTTGAGATATTATTTCAAAAACACAGTGCTTACTCATTTTCACCCTATACCGTTTTCAAGTAATAGTCAAATCCTCCAAACACGTCTGGTAACCACAGTGTTTGCCTTAAACTGAAGTTCCTTGCGGGTCTTCTCAGCTGACAAAGTTGAGCTTTATAAAAACTGCTAAAATTAGCCAGCCCGTCCCTGCTGATCTCATAATATTGGAATAGACTCATAAGTGGTCTGGTTTTTAAATCCAGTATAAGTCTAATAGAGCACACTTTGTTGAGTTAATTGGATGTGGTGCTTTCAGAAACTGCACCTTTATTTGCTTGTTGAGTTTTCTTTAGATTTCTGTCACTAGTCAGGCAGTAGGGTGTGAAAGCATTCCATGTAGAATGCAAGAGACTTTCAAAAGTACTTCTGTCCTAAGCTTGTGCTCTGCTGTAAGGAACTAGCACTAGTGAATGTTTGCTGGAGACTTAAACAGTGTATGTGGTACTTCACCAGATCTGGGTCAGTTCAAGTATTTTTAACTTAAATTTAAGTTTTTATTATAAATAAAGACATTTGCATTCACATGATTTCTTATAGTAGTAGCCCATAGATTAACATCTGGGTTTCTTTTGAATTGTGAGGGCCCTCTGGCAAGCAAATAGAAGAAGATCCCTCATTTTGAAACATACGGTCTGTAGATCTGATATTAAATCCTTCTGATTTTGTTCATATGAACCAGCCACCCTTTGTAGCTACATACTAAGGGCAAAGTCAGCATCTAGGAATCAGTATTCGAAGAATTTGTCAGTTCTGATATTCTAGTAGTTGACATATTTGCACAAAGAAAGTGCAGAAACATGTATTCCCAGAGGTTGAGATTCAAACAGCATATAGGGAAAGGAGTACATGAACTGTAATATTACGAGAAATTTTAAGAAATTAATCCTAAGGTAAGTGTCTGAAGTAATACTTTTTATTTAACTATATTTCTCTTACCGTTGACTTTCTAATGGCCAATTCCAAAGCTCTGGTCTGGAAACCTGAACATTTTTGCTTACAAGTAATTGTAAGTTCTGAGTATTTTCCTCAGGTGAGAGGTGTGATGATCTTCTGAAGAAGTTTCCTTAATAGGAAATTGTCATGCTTCGGTATCACAAATGGCTGGAATTAATAACTGTAACGTGAAGACAGCCTTCAATGTGATCTTCCTACAAGAAGTAGTTGCGTGTAGCTTGGTGATCAATGGGACTTTGCATTAAGCCAGCAGTATGCTGGTGGTCTATTGAAATATATATTTTGTGGGTTTTTATAGCAGCCTTGGACTTCTAACAACTCATGCCTTCCTTTACAGGGCACAAAACTATGGATAATAATGGAATACCTGGGTGGAGGGTCAGCTTTGGATCTTGTAAGTATATGGTCTTTTTTTGCAATATAAGTACTAGTGAACTTTATTTCATTGTGCTTTCCTATCTCTTTAAATCTAGTCCCTGGAGACAGCTGTTACATCACTGCTACATTGTAATGCTCCAAAAAGTATGAATTTGAATGGTAGTTCTGTTATACTGAATTGATTTTTTTATTTATTTTTACTGTTCGTCTCTAAGCATTAGGAAGCATTGATTTATTTTCGGTCAGATAAAAGCCAATTTTTTTTTTTATTTTTTTTTTTTTTTTTTTAGTATGAGAAGTACTGTTCTTGTCATATGTGGTGGATTTTGGGGTTTTCAGTTCTGTCTCTCTCCTGTCCCCTCCACCCAGTAGAGTTCATTACACTTGAATAAAAATGTTCCCTTTGGGATTTGGTCTCAGGAATGAATGAAATGTGTGTCCACAGAGTACAGTTAATTCTAACTGGTTAAAAAATGTTGGGTTTTCCATTTTCAGGTATTTTCCATTAAGCATGAAAGTGCCTTTCACTTCAGATAGTGTAGCATTCAAGAGAAGGGTGTAGCTTAGAGGGTGCAAGAGTATGATCCACTGTTTGTGGATGTGGTTCCCCATACTTTCAGTACAGCTCTACCTCAGCTGTGAAGCTTAGAGACCCACCCTTTCCTGTAAGATAATATAACTCAGTCTTTGTGTCATTCTGAAGGAAAAATATCATGTCTTCAGTATTACAGAATGGTGTCAAGTATGTATATTTGCTAACAGTGATCCTGCCTGGAGGAGCTGAAGTATGTGCTTAACTTCACAAATCTGTTTAGACTTCTTTATGAAATTACATCAGTTCAGCTATGGGAATGCAGAAGCATAGTAATTATGTGTAGTATGTAGTAATTAGTAGCTCTGGAACTTTTTGGGAAGGGTTCTGTGAGGTACGCTTAACAGTTTTGAGTAATTGATAGTGTCCTGTGCAGTGTCAGAAATAGGGAAATAACTTTTACTAGTGACAACTGAAACCATTCAACCTTCAGAATATTAAAACTTTTTTTTTTCTTCATTTGCCTCCTCACTTTACCGTAATTTCATGGTGTTCTCTGTTTCAGTGCTGTGTTGTTGGTGTTTTTCAGTAGCAGAATCACTCACCTTAATTGCTTTTGCCTTGTTTACATAGCTTTCTAGTGTGCAAAGTTTACATTTATTCCATACTAGCAGCTTTATAGTAGCATGTTATGTTCTTGATCCAAAAGCAAACATAGACTGAAAAATGCTGAAACAAGAAAAAAATGCATCATTAAACTGAAAACCCACAGTCAGTAGTTTAATTTATTTTGAAATAAACTGGGTTTCTTAATTCACTTAAACATACAAAATTCAGTCTGCTGTGTTTGCTGCCTATAGGAAACTGACTTTTTGGGAAGTTAGTTCTAGTTTTTCATGTGCTGCATGCTAAGGGGAGTGGATATCGTATATGGTAGAAAAGTAACAGCATTTTCACTGTATTACAATTGAGGAGATGTGAAGATGATCATTCCAATGGCACCTCTTTCTGATAGAATGGTCACATACTTCGCCGAATATTTAGTGAATTCTGTTAGTTCTTTACTTTAAAAAAAAAAAAATCAAGTTTAAGGTTTTATTAAGCCAATAAGGTAAACTAGATACAAGACTAAAACTATTTTAATGTATCTTTTCTCTAAAGCTGCGTGCTGGCCCATTTGATGAGTTCCAGATAGCCACCATGCTAAAGGAAATCTTGAAAGGTCTTGACTACCTACACTCAGAGAAGAAAATTCACAGGGATATAAAAGGTGCATAACATTTCAAATGTTACTTCGTTAAAGCCTTTAAAAATTACAAGAGCAGTATTCTAATTTAGATACTATGTTATTTCCCCTTGGTAGCTGCCAACGTCTTGTTATCAGAACAAGGAGACGTTAAGCTTGCTGATTTTGGAGTTGCTGGGCAGCTGACAGACACACAAATTAAGAGGAATACCTTTGTTGGAACTCCCTTTTGGATGGCCCCCGAAGTTATCCAGCAGTCGGCATATGATTCAAAAGTAAGTACGGGAGTAGAACACTTTTGCTTTCTATTTGCAAATCCAACAGAAATTACTTTGACTTTTTTGATTTTAGCTCTGTCAGTGTGGAGAGAAAAAAAAAAAAGTTTCCAATTACAGGGTTTCCAATGGAAAATTAAAAGTACAACTAAAATTGTCTTTATGCAGTAGTTATATGTCACTAAACTCACATGCAGGACTCGTGCAAACTCGCCAAGTAAATTGACACTTTAACTGATGTTAAGATTCCTTCAAAGAATCTTCCTTAGTGTTTTGTGTTGTGGATGGGTTAGTTTGCTTACAGTTTCAATTTAATGTTTCACATATTAGAGTTTATTACTGTTTGAATTATTAATTAGAACACCATCAGAACTTAGCAGCTTATTTCAATCCAAGGTGGTGGCTGAAATGTTAGTCTTATCAGATTTTTATAAACAGCTTTGCATATAGTTTCTTTTTAATGGTATTTCTTAGGACCTGTGTAGTGCTGAACATTTTGGCACATTTGGCCAGTTCTGAGAAGGAAAAAAATAATTTGAATTACAGGATGGGTAGCTGTGGTAGCAATATTATAGCTTGTACATTTTTGTCATGGGAGCTGTTGATGGACGACATTGCAAAGGAGAGTTTCTCTCTGTGGACTAGAGGTAGAAAAGTAGACCTGCTCAACATTTTTCTGAGGATTTGGAACTGCTGCTAGGAAGTATGATAAGGAGGGAACAGTGCCCTCTTCTCCTATGTGCATACCCACAAGATAACCTAGTTTGTGGTTAGTGAAATGGCAGTGTACTTCAGTGCTGGCACTGAAGTACCTACACTCTGTAAACAGGGGCAAGAAATGTAAAAATCTTGGTGTAAGCAAAGTAATACTTTCATACTGATGTTTCTTAAGATAGCTGCACTTGTGATGAGCACATAGAGAAAAGACTGATGAATATCTGAGGTGTCCTGAAGATATTCACACTGCAGACTTCCCCAGGATCATTCAGACTTGAAGGAATTTGTGTACCTGTCACAATGGTCCTTGCTAATGAGGCAGAGTATGTTCCAGTTCTCATGTTTAGGGTTTCAATGGTGCAACTTTAATCCCTAGGGCATTTTTGAAAAGCACTCTACTGTTTAAATGCATGTTGTCCAGTCAGAGTGAGAATAATTCCTCTTCTGCTTGCCCTGTGTATAAATCAGCTGTACCAGCTGATTTACATTCTCTAGCAACCTAATATTTTGCCTTCCTTAGCTTCTCAAGAGCAGTGTTGCAAGAGCAGCATACTCTCCCTGTTTTTCCTATGCCCAAAGTCTGCTGGGAAAGCACAAAAGATGCAAGCCAGATGAAGGGCTTGAGGCAGGTTGCCCTTCAGTTTCTAGACTAACACAGATGTGGGTTTTTTGCATCTGGACCGAATGTTAACCTTTCTTCTCTCTCTACTTCATTAGAGTGATTAGGTCAGCCTTGAAGCCTTTCTAGTAAGAAAGGAATCTTTGACATTATCTACTTAGGCCAAAAGTAATTTTATTATATAGATGCAGTGTATGTGAAGACTTCCGTTATTTAATAATACTTACTATCGCCCTTAATTTTTTACTAAAAGTAACTTTTCCCTTTCTCAGGCTGACATCTGGTCATTGGGAATCACTGCAATTGAATTAGCCAAAGGAGAGCCTCCCAACTCTGATATGCACCCAATGAGAGTTCTGTTTCTCATTCCTAAAAACAATCCTCCAACTCTATTAGGAGAATTCAGTAAACCTTTTAAAGAATTCATTGATGCATGTCTGAATAAGGACCCAACATTTGTGAGTATATGTATATGTATGTGTGTGTGTGTAGATGTTTTGGTTTTATTTCCTGCTCTTGTGCTTGTGCAGTATTTTGCTGATGTAATGCATCATAGTTGATTGAAGTAACTTTAGAGACTGTATTTTCCAGTGTAAGTGGTAGTAGTGGTTTTAATGGCTCTCTCCATCCTAGTCTCTTTTGTTTAAAATACTGAGAGGAGGAGGGAGAATGCTGAAAGGAGGGATGGTGGCAGAGGCAGCTTCCTAAAATGCAGTCAAACCTAGGATAATTTCAAAGAGAAACTTTCACAGAGGCGAGAATCTTAGATCTTTTTCTCCAGCAGGACTTTTGGTGTCTGTCTGAATTCTGCTTACAAGGAAATGTTGCATTGGAGAATTTTGATTAGTCATTTTCCTGGGTGTGTACCTTCTAGCGTAGAAGGATAAGCAGTGTAGTCTGTTTGACATGATCATATTTTTAGAGTGCTTATAAATGGGCATTACTGGCTTTTCTCCACTTCCTCTTTCACTAACTTCCTGATACTGTTTGAGTTAGCTCTAGAAGTCAGTTGTTGTACTAAAGCTCCCCTATTAACATTTAAAATCATGAAATGTTAGCATAACATTAAATATTTAAAGTGTTTCTTACAGCGCCCTACTGCAAAAGAACTTCTGAAGCACAAATTTATTATGAAAAATGCCAAGAAGACTTCATATCTGACAGAACTGATTGATAGGTTTAAGAGATGGAAAGCAGAGGGACATAGCAGTGATGAAAGTGATTCCGATGGTTCAGATTCGTAAGTTTATTTTTAAGTTAGTCACTTTTGATCTTTCTTTTTTCCTTTTTTTTTTTCTTTAATAATGCTACTGAAGTAGGTTTGTTGCAATTGACTCATCTTCTGGAAACCTTCTGTACACCTGTCTTTGTTCCATATGTTTTTCCATTGGCTTCTTTCAAGAAGACCCCTTGTATGAGCTTGGACTAATGCATGTCAAGCTGTGCACTCAGTATCTCTTTAAACTTATTCTCCCTGAACCCAGTGTTGGGTCTAAGTGCTCTGTATTTCCTAGTCTCAGGTTAGTGGTTATACCAAAAACAATGAATCACAATTAGAAATACTGCAGAGCAAGGTTGAGGTGTATGAAGAAGTATGCATGTTATCTGTGGAACAACATGATTATCAGATAACTGTTTTAAATGGGATGCCATGGAAGAACGCGGGGATAGATAACGTCTCCTTCCTTCGATAGTATTTCAGTTCATTCAGCATCTGAAGTTGTTGTTTTGGGGTTTAAGTTCATTTTTCAATACCTGTTCTTCTTATTTTAAAGAATATGGAACTAATCCATATAGATTTATTATGTACTTGGGCTACCTGTGCTTGCTTAGTGTTGTGTTGTGGCCAGTATTATGTACATCTCACCTTTTTTTTTCCAGGGAGTCCAGTAACAAAGAAAATAACTCTCATCCAGAGTGGAGCTTTACTACAGTTCGGAAGAAGCCAGATGCAAAGAAGCTACAGAACGGGACGGTACGTACAGTGTGAAGAGTTCTCTCAAAGTGCAGCTTTTGAACACAGTTTAAGGAGGAGAGTTATAAAACTTAGTAATTATTCACTTTTCATAAGAACTGACATCTTTCTGTAGTTCAAGAGGTGATATTTGTTAGTGATATTTCCTATGCACATGTCAAACTTAAATGCGAAAGGTACGACATACTAATAGATCAGTATCTGTTCATGGAGATGTGAATTTTAAAGACTCATAATATTAGAGGGGAAAAGCAGGACTGTTTTTCTGATGATCTATGGCATGGTTTCTGATGTATTGTCAGGCATCTGGCTCCACATCATATAATGTTTGTTGATGTACTGTGCCTTCGTTGGTTTTGTAATGTATTTCAAGGGCATAGATGAATTTAACTGAACTTTCAAAATGACATGGGCTGTGTTAAATGCAGTGTATACTTTGTATAGGAATACATTAATGTAATCCTTATTTGTTGACTTGTAGGATCAGGATCTTGTTAAAACCCTGAGTTGTTTAACGATGATAATCACCCCTGTGTTTGCTGAGGTAAGTCTTAAACAACTTTGAAAGTATTACCCAGCTATCTGATAACTTTTACAAGTTCTCTCTTTTGATGTGCTACTCAGCTCAAACAGCAGGACACAAATAATGCTAGCAGAAAGAAAGCAATTGAAGAACTTGAGAAAAGCATCAATATGGCAGAAGCAACATGTCCAGGGATCACAGATAAGATGGTGAAGAAACTTATGGAGAAATTTCAGAAGTAAGTTAAGGAGTTTTTTTCTATGCACTGTTTTTTATTTTTTTAAAAAAGTTTTACTTTAAAAGAAAAGTTTAAATTCACTACTTACTGACCTTCATATGTTGGGTAACTTGAGTATTAGTGATAAGTGAAAGATCTTCTGTGTCCAGTGCTTTCAACATTTAGCTTTGGTAGTTATACATAACACCTCTGATTTTTTTGAGTCACTATTTTCTTGAGAATGTCACTTCTGGTATTTTTTTTCCTATGAACTGTTGAGATGAAGGCATATACTAGCTTAGTGGTGCAGAAATAGTTATGCACTCTCTGCCAAGCTGAAACAGTATAACTAACAAAATTCTTACTTGCATATTTTTTATCTGTAGATTTTCTGTTAATGACTCATCCTAAGAAACTTCACATAATTGACTGCTCTTTCGTACGGACCCAGTGAAACCCACCAAAACTACTTCAAGCTTGGCAGTGCTTAGCTCATGAGCTCCTTGTGCCTTTTGGATCTTTGCAACATATTGATGGTGATTGAAGATTTGAAAGAAACTACGCGACTATTTTGTGGCAGTGCACATGGTTTTATATTTTCAGGAAATTATTTTGTAAAGAACAACTTTTAATATTGTAGTTTCACCTGTTTAATCTGATAAATGTTGAGGTGCAGTTTTGCTTTTAGAAAGAACCATTACTTTAGTTATAGAAAGTGCAAGTACAGTATGTTTTGATGCTATTTTGTTCCTGTACACGAGGCTGTACAGGTCTTTTGTATTCATGAGTTAAACTTTTGTAAATCACTAACAAGCTTCAGAGAAAACAGCTTTTTCACAAGCGTATTCAAAACATGTAATGTAGTGGCAAGGGTATTGCTGTAGCACCTGCTTCAACCAGCATATAATTATTGTGCCCTGAAAAATAAACCTGCAACAGTATCTATTATAATTCTAAATTGGTACATTATTTTAGGCAGCTCTATGATTAAATATATTTGAGAGCAATATGTCAATAGTTTGCAGGTGATATGTAGCAACAGGTATATCCTGATGTACAGTATATGTATTACCTTTTAGAACAGGTTTTGAAGTAGTAACTCAATCTTATACTATCATGGTAGGAAAATTTAGAGCAATACAGTTGAGGGGGTGGGGCTTTTGGCAATAATGGACAAAACGTGAAGTCCAATTTAACTTAATTTAATTTTTTTCCTCTGAGTTATACATGCCTGGGTGGAAGGGAGCCAGAGAAGCCGAGCGTCGCATGATACATACCTCACAAGCAGGTATAAGTGTAACACCAGCATTCTGTGTGGTGGTGTTGTTTCTCCGTTTCTCCTGTAAGATACTGATACACATTTTCATTCTTCAATACATTAAATACAGTACATCAACATAATTTGTTTATAATTTTCTGAAAGTGTATTTTAAATATGTATTTACCAGTTAATATGCAAATAACTGAGTTATAGATATTCTTTCACAAAAAGGTAGTACTGTGCAGTACGGAGTGATTTTTTTCCTAAAAAGCAGTTAAGACTATAAAGTTGCTTTCAGTTACATATTTATGGTACTGCTAGATGGGTAATCTCTTCTGGGTTTTTGTTTTGTTTTGTTTTTCCCTTTTTCAACCCAGTATGTATATTATGCTGAAGTTTTGAACTGGGATTGTTTTTCAGTACTTAGCTGTGGAACTGTTGGTGTAAATTTATTTTTGATAAAGGCTGGGTGTGTTTATTTTATAGTTCAAACCTGCACATTTTTTTTTTTTTTTTTTTTGCACAAAAGTAATTTTAAAGAATCTGAAATATATCTGCCAAATATTGAAAAAGTAATGGTGTGCAAGTAAATACTACGTTTTTAGTCAAATGATGCCATTACATCATTTTTATATAAAGGACACTTGTGAGAGATGGTGGTTAGATATGCCAAGGACAATTATTTTCAATGGTGCCTACACTGTAAAAAAATTACTTTTAACTCCTTATTTTAATTTTAAAAAAGTGTTTCTGTTTAAAACTTTCATCTGCTATATAACTGAAATTCAATTAGAATTTATATCTGAGAAAAAAGTCAGGAAATAGTTTTTGAAAACAATAATGTTATGAATTAAATAAATATTTTTATAAATGTAAAAGCAGCAAAAGTTGTAAATACAGTTGATCTGAAGCTTTACAAAATAACTGCATCACAGAAACAAATTGTAGTGCTCCTCTAGCTTCTGTAGTTGTTAGCCTTGTAAATCTGTTTATAGATTAAGCTTATTTCAATGTTTTGGGGGGTTTTAAATGGTTTAAAAATAAATATTTAAGTTCTGTAAACTTTCATGAGCTTGTTCTGTTGTGCATTTTATTTTGGATTTTAGTGGAAGTGCAGAGGTGTGGATATACCTCTTAGAAACTTGTGTTCTAGTTCAAGAAAAGCGTTCCTTGCAGAGTTGCATGGTTCCTTTGAAAAGGTTTGGGTCCTTCCACACTGTTCTTGTCTGAAGGACACCTGCCTGCTGCTATGCCACAGGGAATGGATGGAGCACTCCCAGGGTTCAGTTTGGTTCCATTCCTAAAGAAGAGTCTTCAGGATCTGTGTGCTCAGATGAACATGCAAAACATGAGATATCAGAACACTTCATTGTGGAGTGAAGGTACAAAAAGGCCTATGCCACAGTTACCTCAGCTTTCACTTCAGCAGTCTCAACCCAAATCTCATTTTAAAGAGCTCCATACAAATTTCTCAGAATTGAAAGCATGTTTTTACTTCCATTTCACTTCCCTTAAGGTGTTCTTTTTATGTGGGAGACTGAGGGGGAAAGATGACGGAAATGCCTCCTGAATTTTGTAACTGGTGGCTAGACCCTGTTGACACAAGGTCTTTAATCTATGCAACTCTATAAACAGTTCTGGGTAGGTAGGGTTAGTGAATCATTTGGGGAATTGGAACCTGTCCTGTTTGTGATATGACTGTAACAAGTTGCTGAACTATGGTGCCTCTTCCTTTTCCTCTGAAATGGGTGGAATGTACACCTACCTCATAGGACAGTGTGGGGAAAAACACATCCATGTGTGTATAATACAGCCTTGTTCTCTTATAGCACAGTCCACCATTCAAGAAGGTTTTCTTATTGTACTGCACAGGGCATTTCTGCACCTAAAGTCTCTGTGTATCATAGGACTATGATCTAACTCTTAAGAATGGATGTCTGTACTACTGGTTTCCAGAGAACAGTTGTCTTTTTCCCTCCCATGTGTTAGTTATTGATGAACTGTGTAATTTAATCAGCAGTATTCTGTTGCTGGCAGATAGCTAATAGAAAGATATATCAAAATATTCATGCAGGAACTGTCTTCTTGCTTGTTTGGTTTGCTAGGCTTCCCCCTGTAGATTGAGGAGGATTGACACCGATGCAGTCTTATCAAAGTAGTCTGAATAACAGAACAGAGAAATGTATTTGTTCCTGGGTAGGTGAGCCTGTTATTGATGTAACCCTTCTCCAAACCCTTGGTCTCTTCACTCCCCTAGTAAGCTTCTGTACAGTAAGCACGTAGTATGGTGAACACCCCTCCTTGCATTTGGTTGAACGTCTATAGCTGAATAGGAAGTACATAGGTTCTTAATGTGTTTGCACAAAGTTTAGCAATTGTTAAAGGTCTGATTTTTATCACACTGTTTTATGACTTAACACTGGAATAAAATTATTTTCCTCTTTGCAAAGTTTTAGTGGTGTGTGTTTTGGCTTGTCTTACTTCATTCTTTTTTTCAATAAACTAACAACACAGAGATGCGGTAAATACACTGAAACCTGTCATAGTGCTTCTTGAAACTGAAGTCTTTTGTGCACTGTATACAAGTTGCTGAACATCATGCATCTGAATTTCAAGATTAGCTTTATCTGTAAGTGATATTTTTATGTGAACCCTGGTTACTTCAGTCTGAACAGCCTGAGCAGCTTAATGTTTTGACTTAGTAATGCTGCTGTGCTTCCTGTCCCTTTAATAATCCTTGCTTGTGAAAGGGCTATAAAAGTTTACATTTTCCAAGTACTACTGTCTGTCTTTCACTTTCAGCAGCCCAAATCATCATGTCCCCTCCCCATCCTTGTTTTCTTCCCTACTGAAACACAATCACTTGTAGAACACAATAGAGGTTCTTACCTCTTTCGGGTGAATAGTGCTGAGCAGGGATTTAGTCAAGAGTTATTTGAATTGTTCCTTCACCTGTGAGCCGCTGCTTACTGGGATTGTTCCTTTATTTTAGTCAGTCACAAGAGAGCTGATTTATGCAATGAATGTAGCTTGAAGATGTTAATTTATGTCACTCATGAGGTGCGTTGTTCCTCTGCTGTTGTTGACCATGATGGAGGATGTGCTAAGGCACAGTGCACATGCTGTGCCCAAGTGCTCTCTCATCAATAGAAAAATCCAAAAATAGTTCCCAAGTCCTTGTTTCTCCTTCTCAGTGCTGTCTACCAGCACAGTCCTGAATGCCAAAGCTGGCAGCTCCTGGAGATCTGGGCAGCGTGGCTGTACACTGGTCCCTCTCAGTGGGACCATGTGTCTGTTATGGGACACGCTCAAGGTGAAGCTGACCTGGGGTAGCCTGTACCTGTGTCTCCACATGGTTTCAGGAGCTAACAGTGGTTGTAGATTTGCTTGTGTGCTTAAGTTATAACCCTTGAAGGGGCATTCTCTGAGGGCTGTGTGTTCAGTCTGTGTTTGAAATGCTGCTGCTTTTTTTTTTTCCCCCTCTACCTACTCATGCATATAGGTTACTGTACCTAAATGCTGTATTGAGTGATGGTTCTTGCCCTTTCCAAGGTGCCAAACTTTGGGAAAGTGAGGAAACAACTCTCTTAATCAGAAAGATTTTTTTTTTTTAAATAGAATTTGTGCCAGGGCAGCATGTAGTTCACAGCTTCTTCAGGAGCAAAAGCAAATCTTACATTGTGTTCTGTTGTTGATCTAATCCATTTCTTTGGGCAACCAGCTACAAATGTGGTTGTTTTCAGTAGCATTCAGAGATGTCAGTG